ACAATTGAAACAGAAACTATTGGAGATATTGAGAAAATACAGAGGCTAAAGTATTTGAGTTAGTCACGTTGATGACATGGCTAAAGCAGCAGGTCACACTGTATTACATCTACAACCATATTATGCAGAATTTTATCCAATTGAGTCATCTGGAGTCACGTCAAAGCTTACATTGCACATCACAATAAAATTTTCCAGTTGGATGACATCAGAATTTTATTTAAAGAAGTAATAAAAGCCGTTACTGATTCGTGTAAACCTCGTTTGTCAAGCTTGTTAAGAAAAAGGCAGAAGAATTTTTGGAAATCGGACTTTTCTTCTAAAGACATCATTGTAGATTCATTGTTCATTAATACAGATACACCAGACTTAACAATTCTTAATGGAACTGAACAAGATTGAAAGATGATATTTAATCATTGATAATCATTTGTTAAAGCGTTGTCAAATAATTAAAATCTTGTTTTATATGTTTGTTAAATACTATGTTATTAACTTATAATAATAAGTAAAACCTTTTATATTATTTGTAAAATACAATTTCAATAATAAAAAATGATAAATAATTTAATAATTCATAAATGATTATAAAATAGTTATAAAATCTTCAAGAATAGCAACAATTTAAGATTGTTGTCGTTTTCCTACAATTATAATCCAACACAATATAATACAGTTGTAGTTATAATCCCATATTTTGCAAGATTTGTTGCTTAAAGTAGATTTCTTGTTTAGCTATGGCAGCAAGTGATACCCATTCAAAATCCAGCACATCAGCTCCATTCTTATTCCGAGAAATATTATTATAGATATATTGATATGGGATCATCCATAAATTATGTAATGCTATTTTTATACTTTCAACTACTACTCCACTCTCCCTGTATTTTTATTGGGAGAGCGAGCCCAAATTTTCTAAATGTTCTTGCAATGCACAGAGAGACCGATCCAAAATATGGAACAGAGGGGCTTACCAGGGTAAGATTTTCTTTCTTTGTATCTAAAAACCATGAGTGGAAAAAGTGACGAAGAATTTGTTAGTATGGAGAAGATTGGATTTTGATAATGTATCAGTTTTTTAAAGGTATCATTAGCCTTTAATTTTTCTAGAGAATCATAACTTAAACTATTCTCTTCATCCTATTCACATACAAACTAGACATAGATATAGATCAAATAAATTTTTGTATTGACACTCCTAACTTACAGAGATAATAAGGTTTTCGTTTAATGTTTTGTGATTATACAGAATGACCAAGACCACCTGTATACCCTTTTTAAAATGAAGGGAGAGAGTTTATTTGATAAATTGAGCACTGGCTGATAATGCTATTCCAAGACGAAGATCAAAGTTTTTAAATGGGACATGGTGGTCTTTTTTAATTTAGAATTGGATTAAATTTGGGGACGTCCATAAAATGTATTAATATGAGTTGTCTTCTCTGATAATACAAGACTGAGAGATTACGATTGTATTTATAAATGCTTTACACAACATTTCTTTCAGTGATATAAAAACAATTTGTATTTTGATTTTTTTTTAATATGTATGCATATAACAGCTAGAGTTTCCACGATCAGCAAAATATAATGAGATAAATACAATTTGTTATAAAAAAAAAACTATCTGTCTAACATGATAGTTACAGTTCTCAAATAAAGAATTTCAAAACAATAGAGAGGTTGTGGCCGAAGTTCAAACTTTAAACTTATACGGCAAGCAGAAGTACATGTTTGATGTTTGAACTCCAAGTAAAACATGTTGCACCACACGTTCACGCTCACATTGTGCACTGATTCATGGGATATTGTTGAAAAATGGCAGAAACATTTAAAAACGATTAAGGTAAACATAAATAAACAAATTAAACCATTTAAAAATATTTAGAGGATGTTTAATAACACTAAATAATTATTTTTAACTTTAATTAGCATCGTGTTTCCTTCTATACAATAGGACAATTCCAATGTGTTTTGCCTATTCTCACAACATAATTTTGTTGAGGGAAGAAGTGGCTTATATAAATCCAAATGCAGCTTGGAAAATTACTTTTAGAAATTTACAAATGTATTATGCTGTTGATGATAGAAGATGCCGTGAAAGAACAAACNATTTTGTTTATTTCTTTTTAAAAGTGTTTTATTTTTTTAATTTTATTTGTTATTTTTAATTGTATTTTTGGATAAATGTGTTATTCTGGGGTTGGAAATCTTTTGTCCATTGACAGTTCCAATTATGTGTTAAATAAATAAATAAATAGATCTTTTGAAAGAAATCCGAAAATTCTCCTTTTATATGTAGATATACATGCTTTTATTGTGTAGTAGAAAATAAATTTGTAATCTTATTGCAGAGAAAGTTAATATTGCAATACTACCACCAAACAAATCACAGCTAATTCCCAGCTTAAAAAAAAACGGCCAGGGGAAGGACAAGATAATGAGAAGACATACTTCTCTTTTAATGCTTCTCACAATCGACATGTCTCATAAATGCTGTAATTCCATCGTATGTAACTAAATGAGGTTCGTCAAATGATGCAATGAACCAGACAAATATCATCATCATAAGTTAACCAAGTTTTGAATTCATTTGCTTGAGCCAGGTTTCTTAAATGTACAATTGTGTGTACTTATTTGAGGAAAAGAAGAACCAAACAAATGCCTAGACTGATTCATCTGAAAAATCAATTTTTAAAACTCAAAACGCCAGTAAATTTAGCATAAACAATTATTTTTACTTCAAATCGTACGAAACACATTTGAAAATTTAACGTATTACAGCATCATTTGTGAATCATAACAAAAACTTTAATACAGTCGACCCCCTTATAACACTGTTGATTATTCTGTTTTATATGAATTCCATGTTGTACGAGTCACTTACATTTTACAAATACGTGAGCCGTACACGTACAGCCAGGCACACGTATTTGTAAAATCTAAGTGAATCGTACAACATGGAATTCATATAAAACGGAAAAATCAACAGTGTTATAGGGGGGTCGACGGTAGTTATAATGGAAAAATCATTTTATCCTTAAAATTACGCTTCTATATAGACTGAAATTAATTTAGCTTGAACAACACCTTAAATACTTTTTCAGAAACACTTTAATTTCTATAAAAGAACGTTTTCACCCCTTTACACAGGTCTGCGTTAGGTTTAACAAAAAGATTTGAACTGTCTTCTTAAATAGAGCAAATTTTCTTGTTAAACATGATGCAGACCTGTGAAAAGAGTCAAAATGTTTAAACAAATTGAAGTGTTGCCGAAAAAAGTATTTAAGGTGTTGTTTAAGCATTTTATCATTATAAGTAAACATAATATATATTAAAAATAATTTTATGTAATATTTTTTCAATTAAGATATAATTTTGTTTATATTTTAAATGGGGTTTCCACCTAACCCAATAATGGGTGGCAACCTCAATGTCACCTATCTCTCCTAAAATGAGACAGTTAGTACCGACCGAGTGCAATCTCTTGTTGCTCCGACTACACAAAAGAAAAGTCCATCTTGACAGACATCACCTTGGCATTGTATATTCTCTGCTTTATACACACAAAAGTTTCCAATAAACCAACACTTAATTATTAATATTGTAATTTTAAAAACACAATTTCTGATGGAGTGGAATGGGTTTAAAAATTTGTTGCTGTCAGATACTGATATAAGGATATGTCATTGGCTAAAGTTTATAAAATGATAGTTGTAAATGACCTTCTCTCAGATTACCTTCATATATAAACAGTTATTGAATTTGTTCTTTCACACCCAGTACAAACTGTTGAGTGTGACAGATTTCAGTGAGATTACATTAACAAAAAATTCCAATTGGAAACTGTCGTGACGTAAAAATTGTTGGCAACTTGCTAAACATCTCCATAAATGGCCCCCAAGATGGAAATTTGATTTTCATTTGGCATCTGTTACCTGGTATGAATCAAAACCAAGAATTCTTCAATAATGTATGATACTTGTGAGTTGTAACAATATACTTATGATTATATTGGTAGTGCAGTACACTATAATAATGTAATTGTGAGAATAAACAAATGTTTAAACAATAATGTATTGTATACTGTTCTAGGCAGCCTCACGGATGAGAAATGCTAGCTACAGTTTCTAAAATTTTACAACTTTTTTAGTAAAATTCTGTAGTAAAATTCTACAGAAAATTTTTTCCCAACTTAAACCCTGTATATTCATATATTTGTGGGCAAATGTGAAACGTCACAGACAGCTAGCAATATCTATTAACAGGTCTGGAAAATTTTTTCATGTGGTTTTTGTAAATTTTGTGAGACAGCATAAAATTTTCTAGCATGAAGACAAACATGGCACCTATTAGTCATTCGCACTCGCTGTCTCCTTCAGAATTACTGGAGTTAGTTATTCAACACTATCAAATCAGAAGAAAATATTGTGTAGTTTATTAAAAGAGATGAATTAGAAGACGAGATATTAATTCTTCTTGTAAATGTTGTGTTTTTTAAAAACTAACTCACTCTGGGAGGTGAGGGAGCCATCAGTAAACCCACTCATCAAAGGTTTAATCTCAATTAAAACATATTGTAAAATGATTATTATTAGAATCGGATATCATAATCATTAATTTTTAAAATACAGTAGGTCCTCAATTTAAACTAATTGGGAAAAGGAATATCTATTATTGTCAAGAGTCCATTAAATCAAATATATTTTAAAAACATATATCAGTAATGATGTACAGAATATATTAAAATCATGTTATAATGTTTAAGTATGAATTAAGTATTATTATAACGTAAATTTATTTATTTATACTCATTGATTCATTGGCCCAACCTTTTACCTTTTAGTATACTCTATTCACAAATAAATTTTTCCTTTAGAAGACAAAGTTTTTGTCCATGAAATTTGAAAGTCTGTTATTAGAGAACCTACTGTACTTAAAATTAATTAATAATTAATAACAATAACTATTACAATAATAAAAAAAAAAGTTTAATTTACCGCCAGTAACTTCACACATGGCATCAATAGGCGAAGTATCGGGTGGAACAACGGAATTTGGATCCCTTTCGACCGGTGGCGTACCGGTTAATCTAAGAACTAACGAGAATAATCTCTGATCCCATCGAAACGGCTCTTTTGTTAGTTCGGAACCTTGGACAGATGAATGCATTGGTAGATTTAACTGTAAAAAGAAGTAATAAAATTTGATTTAAAAACTTTCTATTGATAAAATTTAAAATAAATTAATCAAGTATTTGAATTAATTTAATATTTTTGAACTAAACTCCTAATTCTTTGCAAAATTTAGTAACAACAATAATTCAAATATATAAACATCCCAAAGCCCGACATTTTAATAATAAGCCAAACGATTGCCGGCTTGCCTACCTCTAGTATCAAATTACTTGGGATTTAATTATTAATAGTAACAGTAAAGTAGTCCTATTTAATCTGGCAATCATTGTTCTAAACTTACAAATACAAAAATAAATTAATAGAAATTAATATATTTATATATAATTAATAGGATGTTTCAGACATTATTTCAAAGCCCTTAGGCACTCTGTGAACGCATTTACGACATTAAAAGTTAGCTAGTTAATGAATTTTGATTGTAGAATATAGTTTCATATTTAAATAATCCTATAAAGCCCATTCAAGTGTTTAAGAGTTTCACAGTTTAAGAGTTCTATCATATGTTGTGTATTTAACTTACTAAGCTTAAGTTTAGAACAAAGTTTGAAATTTAAAATTCGACCTATTTAAATTCGAAATGTTTACCTTGCGATGATATTAAACTGTTGAAAATTATTAAATTTAATACGTCTATCTATTTGTTTTACTTTAATTTAGTAAGCATTATAAATCACTTCTGACAATACCAAAAATATATAAAATAAGCAAAAGAAAATTATATGTGATAAAATTTGAGAAATTTTGACACAGTTTCAACAATAAAAATATAAATAAAAGCACTTTCGGCTTTACTACTATGGCTTCATCGGTTAGAATAAAGTAAAAGATGAACAGAAATGGCATTATTTTAAATTTAAAACATAAAATCAATAATGGCATGTGAAATTAAAATAATTAAAAATAACATACGACTAAAACTAATTAGTGTACAATTAATTTTTCGAGTATTAATGTCTTTTTTTTTTTATTGTATAAATTGCTAATTGTGAAGCCACAAAACACTGTAATCTCAACACAGTACTTAAACCTCAAGTTGGCACTTTACAAGCATTTATTATTAAAACAATTTTGGCTAAAAGATGACATTTTTTTCCTCTAGGAGAAAATAAAATTTTTCCTCGTCTCATTCCTATTGATAATTCTTCTTTGATACGTAGTTTCATGTCTTTTTACTGCCCTTAAAGCGTCTTTTATACTTCATAAGCCTCTGACAAACCCCTACCTGTGGCATCTACTTAAAACAAAATTCTATTATTAGGCTTTGTTAACAGATGGACTCCACATTTCTTCTTTATTTGCCAAACTTCTCTATTGTTTACACGTTCTTTGAAATGAAGGTGTTGTATTGCAACTATCAAATGTAAAATAATCACTCTAAGTTTGACAGTTTGTAGGTACAGGTACGCATATGAAGGAGGAGCATTAACAAGAACTTAAGAGTTAAGGCATGAGGTACAGCTTTTGTCTAGGATGTAAAATGTGTGATTACTTTATAATAAGTTGCTCCACAACTTATCATTAGCAAAATTTAGGAGTTTTACATCTATAGAAATGAAACGTAATAGTACTACTAACATATGGCCTGTACTGAAATAAATATTTTTACTAGGAAGCCAAATAAGTTATTTTTATGATAGATACTAAACCATAAGCTATCATCTAATAATGTAATCAGTAAATATAAGAAAAATATTGAATTGACATAACTTTCTTCTACTATAAACTTAATGCAAATGAAAATAGATGTTTGAGAACAAAAACACTCCAAGTTAAGGAATAAATATAAAGTAACAAAAACGTGATGAAATAAACGAATATATAAACATAAAAATTAGCAAGAACTCAATAAAACTAATAGTAACTTGACAAGTATAACAAATATAAAGATGAACGATAATTATGATCACTTATTGTGCACGTATAATAAAATGTCTATATCTCTATTGTTCAGCAAGTACCCTTGAGTCTGTGTTTGTAAATTTTGATGATCTCCAGGTTTTTTGCATGGACAGGGCCAGTGACCAATTTTATGATGGAAGGATACTTTATCCTGTAAAGCTAGATTGTTTTATGAGAAGCAAACACCATTAGTGCAGTTAAAAACTTATTTTTCCTCAAATCATACTGGTGTTGTTTTATCCTATTCAGCAGCAGTGCTGAGGTTCTATCTACTTAGTTACAGTTTCTCTGAAAACCAGTTGATGGTTAGTCGTTCACCTTGCTTTTATTGTTTCTTATAAGTTGGTATAGTGGAATTCCTTTTGAGTATGACACCATATATTTCCTTATTGGTTATGCTGTTATAGCTCATTGTTACAAATGCCTTACTGAGTGATTAAGATGATGATCCAGTGAAGGTTTATAAAATAAACTATATCATTGACTGATGTAGTTTATTTTATGACTGATCTTATTGGAGAATGCAGTTTTCTGCACACAAGATTTCTCTATATGAGCCAAACAGATCATATAATAATTGAACATAGGCTCGAGAATTCATTCTTATGTTAATGAAAAGAATATCTGTTTTCTCGAGTAGAAAAACCTGCCCAAGCCATCACCAAGCAAACTCATTTGCTAGCTCATTTGAAGTGCATGGTTTTCAAGTTCTAGTATTTTATCTTATGTTACTGCTTCTACCTCCTTGTATATTTTTCTCAGCATTTTGATGCACTTGACTACTCTTCTCAGCACTTTCATATGAGAGATAAAATACGCTATAAAAGCACCCAACAATTTTCCAATTAATAGAAAATGATAAAAGATCAGTGAATGGGTCCAGGTATTTATTCTGTGCTTATGGAAGACAGGCAAGTAGGGAAAGAAAAAACATATATTAGAGTGACATCACAAATGTTAAAAGAATGAAGGAACGTGTATACTCAGTAAGGAAAGGCTTGTCTACAGCAGTCTTGACAGCATTTGGAAATGAACTAACAAACTTGTCCTGCTTGCACTTGCCATTTTAAATTTATACAGCATTTTCTTTGCAAACATTTATTCATTACTCATCTTTACCAGTGACGAGTAAAGAAACTCTTATCTTTCCACTTAACAGATGGAAAGATAAGAGTTTCTAGATAAAAACAGATTTTGCATGAAGAGAAGACGAGGTGTGAAATGTAACGAATTCGTCTGCAAAGTCAATAAAAGGACAATTCATCAATTTTTCTTTAGAAATTGATCTTTGGAAATGATCCTCCCGTGATTAAATCCATTCTTTGTTAATAAATGACAATTCCAATTTATAAAATATAAATAAGTCAACTTTGCACCATGTATTGAAGGAAATTGAATTTATGTTTGATTGTCAAAACTGGAATTTAAAATTGAAAGAATCATCTGAACTGATTGCATGTTGATTTGAGAACAATCAATCAAGAAAAGAATGGGTAACAATGTTACATTGGAAGTCATGTTATTTCAATTCAAAAATTTTCCCCTGAAAGCTGTTAGGTAGATGACCGGCACTACTCTATTGTTAAAGGAAAAGTATGATGTACAGGGACAAGCCACTACTAATTTGAGGTGGAGAGCATATACAGTCGACCCCCTATAACACTGTTGATAATTCCGTTTTATATGAATTCCATGTTGTACGAGTCACTTAGATTTTACAAATACCTGTGCCGGGCTGTGAACGGCTCATGTATTTGTAAAATCCAAGTGACTTGTATCGTATCGAGTGATCTCAAATGGTTCTTGCATTATTATGGATAATGCAAAGGTATCAAAGTATAAAAATTTGTCCACAAATTTGACTGATTAAATAAGAAAGAAATATCATGGCAGTCTGAACAATTGAAACAGAAACTATTGGAGATATTGAGAAAATACAGAGGCTAAAGTATTTGAGTTAGTCACGTTGATGACATGGCTAAAGCAGCAGGTCACACTGTATTACATCTACAACCATATTATGCAGAATTTTATCCAATTGAGTCATCTGGAGTCACGTCAAAGCTTACATTGCACATCACAATAAAATTTTCCAGTTGGATGACATCAGAATTTTATTTAAAGAAGTAATAAAAGCCGTTACTGATTCGTGTAAACCTCGTTTGTCAAGCTTGTTAAGAAAAAGGCAGAAGAATTTTTGGAAATCGGACTTTTCTTCTAAAGACATCATTGTAGATTCATTGTTCATTAATACAGATACACCAGACTTAACAATTCTTAATGGAACTGAACAAGATTGAAAGATGATATTTAATCATTGATAATCATTTGTTAAAGCGTTGTCAAATAATTAAAATCTTGTTTTATATGTTTGTTAAATACTATGTTATTAACTTATAATAATAAGTAAAACCTTTTATATTATTTGTAAAATACAATTTCAATAATAAAAAATGATAAATAATTTAATAATTCATAAATGATTATAAAATAGTTATAAAATCTTCAAGAATAGCAACAATTTAAGATTGTTGTCGTTTTCCTACAATTATAATCCAACACAATATAATACAGTTGTAGTTATAATCCCATATTTTGCAAGATTTGTTGCTTAAAGTAGATTTCTTGTTTAGCTATGGCAGCAAGTGATACCCATTCAAAATCCAGCACATCAGCTCCATTCTTATTCCGAGAAATATTATTATAGATATATTGATATGGGATCATCCATAAATTATGTAATGCTATTTTTATACTTTCAACTACTACTCCACTCTCCCTGTATTTTTATTGGGAGAGCGAGCCCAAATTTTCTAAATGTTCTTGCAATGCACAGAGAGACCGATCCAAAATATGGAACAGAGGGGCTTACCAGGGTAAGATTTTCTTTCTTTGTATCTAAAAACCATGAGTGGAAAAAGTGACGAAGAATTTGTTAGTATGGAGAAGATTGGATTTTGATAATGTATCAGTTTTTTAAAGGTATCATTAGCCTTTAATTTTTCTAGAGAATCATAACTTAAACTATTCTCTTCATCCTATTCACATACAAACTAGACATAGATATAGATCAAATAAATTTTTGTATTGACACTCCTAACTTACAGAGATAATAAGGTTTTCGTTTAATGTTTTGTGATTATACAGAATGACCAAGACCACCTGTATACCCTTTTTAAAATGAAGGGAGAGAGTTTATTTGATAAATTGAGCACTGGCTGATAATGCTATTCCAAGACGAAGATCAAAGTTTTTAAATGGGACATGGTGGTCTTTTTTAATTTAGAATTGGATTAAATTTGGGGACGTCCATAAAATGTATTAATATGAGTTGTCTTCTCTGATAATACAAGACTGAGAGATTACGATTGTATTTATAAATGCTTTACACAACATTTCTTTCAGTGATATAAAAACAATTTGTATTTTGATTTTTTTTTAATATGTATGCATATAACAGCTAGAGTTTCCACGATCAGCAAAATATAATGAGATAAATACAATTTGTTATAAAAAAAAAACTATCTGTCTAACATGATAGTTACAGTTCTCAAATAAAGAATTTCAAAACAATAGAGAGGTTGTGGCCGAAGTTCAAACTTTAAACTTATACGGCAAGCAGAAGTACATGTTTGATGTTTGAACTCCAAGTAAAACATGTTGCACCACACGTTCACGCTCACATTGTGCACTGATTCATGGGATATTGTTGAAAAATGGCAGAAACATTTAAGAACGATTAAGGTAAACATAAATAAACAAATTAAACCATTTAAAAATATTTAGAGGATGTTTAATAACACTAAATAATTATTTTTAACTTTAATTAGCATCGTGTTTCCTTCTATACAATAGGACAATTCCAATGTGTTTTGCCTATTCTCACAACATAATTTTGTTGAGGGAAGAAGTGGCTTATATAAATCCAAATGCAGCTTGGAAAATTACTTTTAGAAATTTACAAATGTATTATGCTGTTGATGATAGAAGATGCCGTGAAAGAACAAACATACTTCAACAGAGTTATGATAAGCTATTATGAAAACAAATATATAAAAATTCTATAGGCACTTCCCATCACTTGCAAAAAAATTGAATAATTAAATAATTTCTGGATTAAAATTGTCTGTTTCTTTACATTGTTATTCACAAATGCTTAAATAATCATTATTTTAATAAAATACATCATAATTTTAACCCAAAACACAGAAAAATGCAGACGTTTAAGCCGAACGTCTACATGCCATGCTCGACATTCCAAATGCCATTGTCAAACTTCTAGGATTACAAGATGGCGACGTTCAACGTTTATGTTTTAGAGATGAACCGCAACCTCTCTAATATCTCGATTTTTACAATATTTGAAAAAGAAATCTGAAGTCTATAAAGCAGATAATAAAAAAGAGATATTAATTCCTAATTTTTGATGCAAGAAATAATATATTAAATAATAAAAATGGATATAAATGAATTTTTATTATATTTCAATACATCTGTTTTTACACTTAAGGCGAAAAAAGTTTTACCATACCTCATCTTGAACTCCATGTATGGTGGTAAGTTTTCCTCCATCAGTTATGACTACAATAATGGACGGTTCTAGATAAAAAGGACATCTTCCTTGACCATAAGTATCGATTCCTGTCTGCATGCGATTGATATTCAACAAATCAAAAGCATGTTTTAATGCAGCCCCTAACATCGTCATCCCATAACATTGCAAGTTTTTGAGTTCCGACATGAAAGTTGCATGACTTTCTTTCCATCCAGCCTAAAAATTTAAAATGTATGTTTAAGAAATAAATAAGCTATTATTATGGAAAATAAAGCAATGTTTTCGATATAACCGTAAGATTCACTTGTTTGTACTAGAAATCATGTGAGAACTTCATCTTTGTTCTTTAGTTCTGTATTAGACTTACGTTTACATGAGAGAGACTTATTACAGAATGACCCACATGGTCATTCTATAAGTCAGTTTTGGACAGATTAAACCAGAAAAAATCTAGAAAGAATATCTATGCCTCCCTTATTAGAGGGCAGAGATATTCAGTTAAGGAACACATCGAGATGCAGACACACCTGTAGGACAGTTTAGTAAGAAACTGCACACGGGTCACATGATATATAGCGGAGCAGATTGACACACACATTGGCAGGCAGTTTTGTGACGTTTGCAGCATTCTGAGTGTTACGGAGCTAATAAATTATTATAGAACCATATGAATTTAAGTTCCAAATCAGATTGTAATGCAGAAATGGACATGCTTACATTACATATAATGTTTCAAAAAGGAAAAAGTCATTTTGGAGAAATGACTGTATGAAAAAAATACCCAAACCAGTCCCTATATGGGTGCAAGAGGTAAATTTTATGAAATTGGAAAGACCATCAAAAATATATAAATTTTATTCCGATTAATTTTTTAATTGAACGTGTATTTTATGAGATATTTATCAGGATCATTATAAATTCACTACCCTGTACTGTACATTATGTAATTTTAAATATTAGTACTGTAATTTCGTGCAGATAACACACAAGTTTGAAAGGTAATTTAAAATTTAAAGGTATGGGTCATGTAATGGGATGATTTATATGACAATTTTAAATTTTAATCATGAGTTAAAAACAAAAGGCCATTGACAGTTCGAACAAATATTAAAAATCATCAACTTACAACAAAATTCTGAAACTAAATGATGATACATTACAAAATGAAAATATTAAAACACACAAGACTCGTGACAAAATTCTGTTTAAAAGACTGCATACAACTTTTGAACAAAATTAAACAGAAAATAATTTTAATACCAAAGATTCACTACTCAAAAACCTTATACAATGCAGCCGTATTTATTAGCAAATTCAAACGTTTTAGGTCATCTTTAATGACCTTTCTCGAGAACAAACGAAATTGAATGTTGACAGATTTGTATTAACGATAAAGGCATTTATCGTTAATACAAATCTGTCAGCATTCGATATCATTATAGATAAATAAATTTTAAAAATTAATTAAAGTTTAATTAGTTTTTAAAATTTATTTATCTATAAATTGGTGATATTATATTGGCATGTTCATAAAATTTCTCTATTCAAAGGTTAATTCTACATTAATAAACTGCCGAGGAAACAAAGTAAATAGGAAGACACAATTTCAAATTTATTAAGAAAAGTGTGTTTTAATATTATACAAATTAATTGATATATTTGAAACTATAACCAACAGAATAAAAAGTTGACTGAAGGGAGGTATCAGAGACCCGAAATGCGTATCGACCAATGAATAAATAAAGAATGTAAAAAACCGCCTTGTGTCTAATCAATTTCACTTCATCATGCCGAGGAAACAAAACAAATTCTACAATCAAATATTAAAAACAGGCAAAACTGGGTCATCTGGTCATCCTACCTACAATAAAATTATGGGGGTAGCCAGTGAGTATACAAATTGTAAAGTTGAAATTTAGACACTTCAATCTTTTTTATGGAAACAACTGAAAAAGTATATAAATAGAGTAACCGACGGACATTTCATCACACATTTCATTGGAAATAGATGCATCAGACAATATTGAATTTTCAAAAGTATATATTTATGTGCTGTAAATGTATACTTTTATGTACTGAAAATTCGCTTCAAAAGTGGCCACAACATAAAGAAGGCTTATGACCTCACCAGGAAAGCATTTACTGAAACATTTGTGGGTGAACAAAGGTCATCCAGCTGTTGCAAATGTCAAAGGGTTGATAGTACAGAAGGTGATGATCTCTATTTGTTGGCATCATCACAATGGAGCTGCTTCCAACCAACATCACTGTCACGAAAGAAGTTTACTATGAATGACTGGATCATTTGAACATCAAGATCGACAAACTACATCCAAAAATTGACAAAGACCAATATTGCCACAACAACATGCTGGCACATAGAGTGAAGATGACCTTAGAGAAGCTGACCAGTCTGGACCCAGAGGTTCTACCACATTCACCTTACAGTCTGACTTAGAATGAACTGACTACCATCTATTTTGCACTCTGCAGTCCCACATTGCCAATAAACAGTTCAATAACAATACACCACACTTGAAACTTTCTTCAAAGATAAACCCTAATCATGACAATCTACACTCGAGAACCTTTATAACATAGTAACAGCAAAATTTTAATGAATACTAACATTTTCGGGCTTCATCAGTTATAAACCTGATAAAGATTGAGACCATCCCTGAGACCTGTTCTAAATAAAGCTAGGTCTCCAACTTGGATGCTTGACAATGTAGTACACAATTTTATATCGGAGCACTTAAATAGGTATGCTTTAAATGTCAATAACTCCACAGACCTAATTGATATTTTACAGCAAGTTAGGATAACAGAAGAAGCATGCATTACTGTCTTTGATTTCATCTCCCTAAACCCCTTGATAAAAATACAACCATGCTTCTGTGCGCTTAGGGATATGTTACTAAGCTAATAAGCACCCCCAGGGAAAATACACAATGTAAACATGTGTTGGAGCTAGCACATATGTTATGTTATACATCATTTTTCCAATTCAATAACAATACATACTTACAAAAACAGAACATGCCTATGGGCAACCCCTCTCTGGATTTGTGCGAGTTGGTAGTTCGGAAATTGGAGTAAAAGGTCATACTTCTATTCCTATTGAACGTTCTGGTTTATAAGAGGTATGTTGATATAAGAGGTATAGAAGGCTGAGCCCAACATGGATTTTGTAAGCTCCATGAATAACAACCCATCAAGCTAGATCAAAAGAGTAACACAAGCACTCATCTTTTTGATATCAACAATTGCCTCAAAGAAAACAGAGTGGTAACTAGTGTCTATTACAAACTATGCTATGTATCATTATTTATTCCAACAAATTCGGTGGACCTGTTTTCTTATAAAATCATGGCCTTTCATATGATAATGAGATAGGCTAATATAGGGTCTTAAACCCTGTAGTGCCATTCGGCAAAGCAAGGGGGTAGAGTTTGCTTTATGAGGCTGTGTTCCATTGGAAGGAGCACAGCCTCATAAAGCGAACTCTACCCCCTTGCTTTGCCGAATGGCACTACAGGGAATTGTGTGCCTCTCAGTGGAAGTCCTCAGTAAGAGGACTTCCACTGAGGGGCAGTCCTTCCGCAAAGGCACCCACAGAAGCAGCTACCATCTTCTTGTCCAAACTTGGACTTGAAGTGGGGAAACTTCCCGTGTCCGGTCAGTATTTGCATTATTTTCCAATCACAACTTACTGGAGTTTAGCCAACTTCAGGCATAAAAGTGTAAGTTGACCTACCTAACATACTTTGAGTCCAGTGCTCTTGCCAGTGTGTCATAGATTGTTGCAGTAGAGTACCTTTAATGTAAGTACCTGAGGGTGCTACCATACTAGTTACAAACGGACCCATGGCCCCACCTTAGCCAGTTGATCAGCACACTCGTTACCCAGGATCCTGCTGTGGCCTCAGATCCAACTCAGGGCAATATGTTGCTTGTGCCTTGCCCTCAGTACCCTACCTATGATCTCCTGTACCAGCTTGTCCCTGTGGTACCCGTTGCTTAAGGCCTGAAGCAACGACAAGCAAGCTAACTTTGACAAGAATATGACAATCACCAATCTACAAACTATCAATTTTTCTAATAAAAATGCCCATAAGAAAAGAATGATATACACTACAAATTATGATAAATAAACTGAGAAAAACTGTTTTTCAAGTTAATTTTATAAATAAAAACACAATATAACAATTAGATCAATAAAAATGAACTTTTGCATATTTTTTGTTTATCTTTTGCCTGATGTTGGTAAATTTATTTACTGAAAGTGCTTGCTTTTGCTGTCCTATTGTGCTATTTATTTGTTTAAGTAATACCAACAAGCAGGGCCAGCTCAAGAAAATGCAGTGCAAAGTTGTCGGCTATGACATGGTGTCATAGCCAATGGATGACAACAAACTAATGTGATCAATTTTCAAATTTCACAAGAGTTGGATCGTGCAGAATCATGGGACGTTGCGTGATCACACCATTTGCACTGCCATCCAATTAGCTTTGCCAACAAGACAGGTTTCTCTGCTTTATGATTCAGAATGTCTGATTTATTGATCTAGCGTGCCAAATCTAGTAGTATTTATTCAAACTGAAATAACTTTCCTGTTTAATAGAGATTGAGAGGACAAAATATAATTCTTCTTATACAAGAGCCACTCACATTAAACCTCTGATTACTGACTTTAACAGCTCTGTCATTATCATAGTTACATGGAAAACGGATTGCTAAACATTTAGAAGTCCTTATCCTAACTTTTTCTGTCCTGAAACCTTAAGAGAGTTTTTATCAAACTCATTATGGATTCTGCCCATGGCCAAAGAACACTTTGCTGAAAAGTAAAGGATTGAACAGACTAATATACATGTAGTATATTTTAATAAAATCACTTATGTTGCATTCATTATTTTGAAGTGACATGGTTGGTCTTATACAGTGTGGAAGGTGATGAAGGCCAGAATTTGAACTCAGAATTAGAGAGAACCACAGAAAGCCTTTCACAAACACTCTAGAAGGATAGCACAGAGGGTTTGAACAGAGAACGACAATCATCCACCCTTTATATTGTCAGTCATACTTTTATTTCTGGTTGGCACAAAAAGTCACACAGTAAGCAAAAAAGTAACCTGGAAAATAACTTTCTATTATGGCAAATGGGTTGGCAATTACTATAAATAAGCCAGGGTGACCCTCGATCCAAGAAGTG